TAGTGAGATAGTTTATAAAATTGTTTGTGTAAAAAGGACAAATACTGCATGACACCACTGTTATAAAAAGTTAAGAAAAGATTTTGTTGCTAAATGAAACATTCTATGATAGTTACAAGGCATATGGCGGTAGGGGGAGGGAAAAATAAAGTGAATTGAGGTAAATATTGTTAATGAAGGGATATGGAATAGATCGCAATCATTGTATTGACAGAAAGTATGTAATTCGTTGAATGTGGGACTGATGAGCTGTTCTATAAAACCTTCACTCAATTTGCAATAAAAAGTTAAAAAAGTTATTTGTGTAATTTGTAACAAGAATTTACTAGTTTATGAAAATTCATTTTGTGCTCTTGTTAAATTTTTATAATTTTACAATTCAGTTGTTTGATGAAGCCACATAACAGAAAGATGAGCTGAATGCAGGAATCTGCCACATTAAAACATAAATAGAATTCAGTACTTTATACTTTTAAAAACTTCCTAGGTCCTTCATTAGTCTTTAAATTATAGCATTAGCCAATTTCCTTTATGTTAACATTTATCTAATCATTGCTTTCTTTCCACTTAATTTCCTAATTTGTTTATTCAGTAGAAAACCATTTAATAAATAATGAATAAAGAAGTATATCTTCCTTTTACTTCCTTACTACCAGATACTTTTTTAAAAATAATTGTGTTTGAAGTTTCTAGTGATTTTCTTATGGGAAAGTCAGTTACTATATAGATTCTTCTGAGAGTTGTTTACTATTCAACTGAACGGGTTCTAAATAGAATGTAGCATAGCCAGTGTAGCACTGTTTTTTGTTTGTTTTACTAAAAGCCCAAAAAAGATACATGCCTTGCACCTGTTTTTTTTTTTTAAGATAAATCTTTGGGACCCTGAAATGAACATGTAGAACAGCAAGAATTTCTTAGCCTTTGTTCTGTAATTTCTTTTTTGTACCATAAATTAAACTGAAAAAAAAATTTTTTTTAATGTTTTATTGTGAATTATGTGATAGTTTACATGGGAGAACATTAGTTTATATTTATCCTATTGTATATCGTTTAATTGCCATGGTTACAATCCCCTCCATGCATCATCAGTCAACCAAAGGGTATACACTACAAGCCTGCTTCCTGGGTCGTCAGCACGCAGCCCCTCTCCCTCTCTGTGTCTAAAGTCCCCAGCTACTCCATCTCTCCACGTCATTGTCTCTGCCTCCATATCAGGCATCACAGCTTCTCTGGGTAGGGTCCCGTTCTCTGTTCTTCTCCCTTGATGGTCCCAGGGACCTCCGCTCCTAGACTGAAAAGTTAATC